GGTGCTGGGGGCTCTGTGCGGCCTGCTGCAGAGGGTCATGCTTGACGAGGGTGTCCGGCGGTCCCTGACCAACAGCGGCAACAGCTTCCGGGTTTTGACGACCTTGACTAACGTGAGCTGCTGCTGCTGCCGCCGCCCGCCGCTCGCACGTTTGGCGTTGATTGAAAATGTTGGTTTGATCGCATGTTTGTTGGGTGGATATTGATGCATGTTTGTCAACTATTCGGTGTTGGTATTGAAGCGTCGCTGGAGGAATCGACGTAGACGGGCCCTAATCGTCGATTTTTTTTTTTTTTTGCCACACAAGGCAGACATCACATGCAATCTGGATCGCTTGTGCGTCAAGCCAAGTCTTTGCTTTCTTTCCCATACACGTGATTTGGTTTTTCTTGCCGTTTTTTCACAATATTTTTGTTCCGTTTTTTTTTTTTCTTTTGACGATTCTTGTACTCGTTCGCCTTTTTCCCCCCCCGTTTTTGTTTTGTTTATTGTGTCCTTCCTTCTTCCCTTCCTTCTGTATTGTGTGGGCATCCGTTGTGTCACTCCTGTGGTACCGACAACAACAACATGGCAAAAGTTGGTGACGTGCGGCGTGCGGCCGTCCCTGAAGGGATCGATCTACAAGGCCCTAGCGGCGTGCGCCAAGGATCCGGAGACCGCTCGGCGAATCTGGATTTTCATCGAAGAGGCGCAGGTACAGTAAATGGACAGAATCCGTCGAAAAATGAGACGGCGGTTCTGTCTGTCTGTCTGTCTGTCTGTCTGTCTGTCTGTTGTGGTTGTCGGCTGTGGGTCCACCTACTCTTTTTTTGGTGGAGATACTGCTGTATGACACTCGTGTGAACGGTCGGCAGTAGCGAGCAGACGATGCTGGTGACCACCATATGTACAAAGCGAGACAAATATATGTGGGACCTCGCGTGCCACAACGATGTCTTCGCTGGTGCTGCTGCTACTTGTGGTGCACGTAGAGCACGCTGGAAAACTGCTACTGCTATTTGAATAGGCTTCTGTATCTGCTACTGCCTTGTTCTGGGGCTGTTGGTGCTAGGGTCGCCGCCGTGCTCCCGTGGCATTGGTTCAGGGAAGGCAACCCCTATTTGCACGACGCGAGTGCAAATAAGACCGTGCACGACTCGACTTGTGATTGGTCAAAACAGCGCGCGCAGCGTGCGGACCACGTTCTGACGTGCGGACCACGAACGTGGCGCAGCCGCGTTCGTGGCCAGTCTCGCCACCACGGCCCCGGTTGGACGTCCGTGAGGGTTAGGGTTAGGGTTAGGGTTGGGTTGGGTGGGTTGAGTTGGGTCGGTCACGTGTGTGTATAACCCAGTTTCAACCCATCCACGGAGGCGTCTTATTTGCACGCGCGTCGTGCAAATGCACGCGCGTCGTGCAAATGCACGCGCGTCGTGCAAATAGGGGTAGCCGTTCAGGGAAGGAAATGTACACCCCATCCTCATCCGTTGTTTGGCTGCGGTGACCCCTCCCTCGTCCCTCCTCACCCCCCCTCCGCCTTCATTGATTACGAGTCCCCCGATGATACTTGATATAAATTCCCGATGTGCTGTCTTCCCCGCATCGCTGACTGATGCTGGGATCTTTCGCTCCCGATAGTACCTGGGATCTTACATTGGTTAGTCGGTTGACGCGGCCGATGCGAATCAGGGAACCACATACACAAAACCCTTACCTACCCTTTGACTTGAAAAGTGTTGGTGCTTTCCCGTTACATGTACAAAGACTGGCGTTCTTTTCATTGGTCAGCCCATTGCTACTGTAGCGCGGTCGATGCCAATACTACTCAAGAAAAGGACACACGCACCGCCTCCTGCCCTCGTTGTACATCCTTATCCTTCCCCCCCCCCCCGCCCCCCCTGCCCTGAGCCGGCGAAAACCCGGAGGGGGTATCGCTCCGTCCCGGTATTGTAGGGGTGCGAGGTCAATGGTCTAACGACTACGGCATGCACGACTATGAGTACACCCCCCTCCCCGTCCTGCAACCGCCTTTTTGTCGTCGAGCAGCTCGTGCCTACGGGAACCGGGAGGCAGGAGGGTGTCATCGTCGGTGGCGGCATGGCGAAGAACGCCAACTCTTCGTCCAACTCTCAGCCCCGGGGACTGTTCGCGGAGATGGAGCAGGTGGAGTCACGCGAAAGGACGTACCCGGTGACGGAGGGATTCTGCTGCCTCATCCAGGTCTGTTGCTGCCGCTGCTACTGCTGCTGCTGCTGCTGCTGCTGCCACTGCTCTCGTGGTTGTGGTGGTTGTGGTTGTGGTTGTTTTTTTATGGTGTTTGGTTGTTGGTAGTGGCGATGGTGCTGCTGTTGCTGCTGCTGCTGCTGCTGCGGCTACTGCTCTCGTGGTTGTGGTGTTGTGTTTGATGTTTGATGATGATGATGTTGTTGTTTTTTGGTTGGTGTTTGATGATGTAGTTGTTTGGTTGGTGTTGTGTTTGATGTTTGGTGATGATGTTGTTGTTTGGTTGGTGTTGTGTTTGATGTTTGGTGATGATGTTGTTGTTTGGTTGTTGTTGTTGTTGTTGCTTTTGATTACCCTGGTGGTGAATGTTGTTTCACTTTGTAGTTGTTTCCGAGCACAACCATCCTCTCGGAAACCACCCGAGACTTGCTAGCGGAAGGACGAGAAATATATCTCTCAATGACTCGCCGATGTCTATAGTCCCCTCTACCCCCCCCCCCCCCCCCCCCAAAGAATTGGGAGTGGGAAGTCTGGGTATCCAGGAAAAGTTGGACTTTTGTTTGGAGAAATTAA